CAGTGCTGTTCACAGGTGGCCTGCTCGTTCTCTGGCCGTTTTCAACATCTGTCTTTGCCCTTGTGGTCTTACAAGTCACTGTGTGCCCAGGCCTGGCATTTTCCTTATCTATTCTGAGGCTCCTGCTTTCTTAAAATCTCCTACTCCTGCTTTCCCCTTCCTTTTGGGGCTTCTGTTATTTGGATGTTCCCACTTCGGTTCCCAGTCTCTAAATTCAGGCTTTCTAATTTTATCTCAAGCTGGTTCCCAGTCCACTAATTTGTTCTACAGCTGCCCCACTTCCACGGGGCGTCTCGCTCGCTTGCGCCCTTTATTTCAACTCTAATGTTTTACACCCACTATTTGCGTTTCTTTAATCAGCTGCTTTTAAGAATGATTATTACATTTGCCTTAAATTTTTACCCCATCTCTTCCAGTAGCTTGGCTTCAGTTCAGTTTGTGTCTGTGGTCTTTTATGCTGGTTCTACTTCTCAGGCATCTAGTTCCTTTGGCTGTGGATTCCAAATTTCCCTGCAGCCCTCAGCTCCAGGGCAGGGAACCCCAGGTGTCCAGAACTTCTGACCACTGTTCTCACCTCACCATGTGATCTCTTTCGGCCAGAACTTCCATTTTAAACTCTAAGGAAGAAGTATCATGAAAGGAGAACTGTCTCCCTCAGTCGTAATACACTAGCTCTAAGGTTTGGAAGGAGCAGGGGACTTGCACTTTTGTGAAAGGAGATGGACTCATTCAAACCAACCCTCCCACTGAAAACACCTAGAAGAACTGGACAGAACACTCGATGCTCTGATTAAAGCTGTGTGTGTGCCATTACAAGGCCCCAGCTTAGATGGCCCCTCTGGCATAGTCCTCTTGAAGGTGCCCACAGGCCGAAGTTTTGTCCCTGTCTCTGCCTCAGGCCCTGTTGCTCCCAGCTGTAGGAGTCTTGTTGCCTTGACTTTTCACTCCTATGTGTGAGTCACAGATTTATTGAATCTTTCCCTTGATTATCTTGCATTCTTTACAGAAACTCCTCGAAGATTCCAAAGCTAAGACACTGGGGCTTGGCCTAAAGAAGTGGTTAATGTGAGTCAAGGTCACCATCTTCAGCTTAAAAAAAGAATTTTTTTTTTCCAAAGCAAAAGATGGTGATTTTGCTGAAGGTTAATAGGCAAGTGATGGGCAAGCTACGCTACACCGTACTTAAGAGTTTAACTCTTTCTTTTTGGGGTCCCAGCCACCTTTCCCTGCCACCTTCTGTTCTCTCTCCTCACTGCAGCTTTCATTCACAAAGGAAGCTGACAGACCATCTTGGGGGCTCTGGAGAGAAGGTGACACTCACAATGTAGTCAGCACTAAAAGGTGACCATGGGCAGGGATGGCAGTCCTTGCTGCTTGAGGTCATAATCTTCCGTGTATATGCCACAAAAGCTTCTCCCACTTCTGACCATCTGAGCCCCAAATGCTATCTGTGGCTGGGTGTTGTGTATTCCAGTTACTTTGACCTTAGGCAAATCTCATTTCTGGCCCTGACTTCCACCACGGACAGTGAGGGGTTGGAGCAGATGGCCCTTTGGTAGGGTTCTGTGATGGAATGGCAGCTCCCGAATTCGAGATGTGATACCTGCACTGTGGCCATGTCCCACAGATCACCTTGCTCACCCCAAGCCGGCAGCTGGTGTTCAGGGGCCTGTGTGTAATGACTGGTGTCTCTTTCTTCAGAAAAATATTACTGGAGCCTACCAGGTTAGCAAGAAGCCTTCAAAGTCTGTGGTGAAGGTGATCAGAATTTCAGCCCCTGCCAAAGACGCTGTTTATAACTACAGTATCCAGACCCTGAACTCCACAGGGCTTGCTAAGAAGGAGCTGTATCGAGAGATGGCCAAGGTGAGTGAGAGGCCCAGAGAGGGAGGCAGGCAGTCAATGCTTATCTAACTCCAGACAGAAAAGTTATTTGGCTAATCCAGTGAGCTCTTTCCACTTTTGACCATACTGCCTGGAGGTCAGCAGGGGATCCTGCCAACCAGCGAGAGGAAGGAGACAAGGGAACCACGTACTGGGGGGGAGACGTGTTCTGTTCCCACACTCTATGGGAATCCTCCACACACAAGGGTGAGCCGAGAGATCCTCAACATAGACTCATATGTACCTGGCTGCAAACAAGTGCAGGGTCCTCACCTCTGGAAAGCATTTCATTGCTGCCACCCCAAAGGAAAAGCCTTAGCAGGCTTCCAACATGTTAGCTTTAGAGAAGGGCTGCTCTGTCAAAGAGAACAGGAACGTGACCCTCACAGTTCAGTTATTCTGAACTGGGGTCCCAGCCACCTTTCCCTGCCACCTTCTGTTCTCTCTCCTCACTGCAGCTTTCGTTCACAAAGGAAGCTGACAGACCATCTTGGGGGCTCTGGAGAGAAGGTGACACTCCCGATGTAGTCAGCACTAAAAGGTGACCATGGGCAGGGATGGCAGTCCTTGCTGCTTGAGGTCATAATCTTCCGTGTATATGCCACAAAAGCTGGATCGCCAGCTATGTTGTCAGGAACTGTCATGTCATTATGCCCCAATGTGCCACCGTTTCTGATGCTTGCTTGGAGATCAGAGGGCCAGTCAGCCCCAACCATGGCTGCTATCAGCCCTTCCATCCTCGTGTCTGCCCCTTGTTTCCAGGAGCCACAGAAGAGATTCACGTACTCCCAGAAGTACCTCTCAGCCATGGTGGAGCCTCAGGACTCAGAGGAAGAGGAGAAGAAAGCCAAGAAGAAATCCCGCCAGGCCTGGCTCACAGCCAACGGATTCCAACTGACAGGTCTTCACAGAAGCCCTGAAAGCAACCGTCACCCCAGACTGCCGCCCACTGGCACCATCGCAGAGCTGAACGAGGTCCACAGGGTGGGGTGGGGCCTCAGGTGGGGTGTCTGCAGGGCCCTCCCTCCTAACTTACTGGGGTGTTTGCCATGTAGGAGTGGAGGGAAAATGCCCGGTTTGCTAACGTGCTGGATCGAGAGAGGTGGAGTTGGGACCGGCGCCAGCAGGACTTTGACCTGTATAAGAAGCCACCGCTTTTCTTTGAGCTGCCCCCTCCCCCAGCGCCAAGGCCTGCAACAGGTAACAGCGACCTCTGCAAGGTGGAGCCTCCTGACGCTGCGTGCAGTCAGGATTTCTGCTGCTTCGCATCTCTGGCCTTTTTGTTTTACCCAAAGCTAGGAAGTTGAGTCAGAATAGGTCTGGCATTAATGTGCTGGGCTGGAACTCAGGAGCCCTGGATTCTAGCTCCAGCTGTAATACTAACTTGCTGGATGACGTTGGGCAAGTCCCTTCACTGCTCCTGGTCCCTGGAACCACACCAGATGGTTTGAGAGAGCATGTGCATGTGCAAGTGGGGGCGGGGCAGAAAGAGAATCCTCAAGCTGACTCCTCGCTGAGCGTGGAGCCTAACACAGGGCTTGAACCCATGATCCTGAGATCATGGCCTGAGCCAAAATCAACAGCTGCTCGCTTACCCAACTGAGCCACCCAGGCACCTCTCTGGGCCTGGTTTCTTAGCTATAAAACACCTAAGTTGGGAGATCAGTCTAAGGGCTTTCTGAGCCCCAACACACATTACCCATGTCTAGATGCCTGGCCAGCAGCTGGGAGCAGAGGCTCTGGGCACCTCTGGGACCTTCTAACTCCCTTCCTGCTCCATGATGTTGCCATTTCCGTGTGGGGGAGGGAGGCTAGAAGCACGGGTCCCTCTCGTCCTTCTGTTTATGAAGATGGGCCTCCAGATCATTTACAGGTTGACAGAGAACCTAAATTTGCTGGTTGCCAGAAACTTTGTTCAGGGAGAAAGAGAGAGGAGTTTATCTATGGACAAGGTCTGCCAGAGAAACCTTTCTCAGAAAGCCAGAGCAGATAAACAAAATGGATTTCTTTCCTCCCCCAACCCCTGAGGGCAGCTGGTAACAGCTCCATGAAACAGGAGGAAGTGCCAACAAGCTGCTGAAATTTGTCTCCCCCACTGTCTGGCCCTTGCTGCCTCCCTTCAGAACAGGCTCCGGGTTCTGGGGTGGCGTGAAGGTCTCCTGCTACCTGTTGGCGTGGTCCAGCCCAGCAATGCCAGATTGCCTCCTTGGCCCAAGTGCTGCCGCTGGGCTCCACCGCAGGCCTTCCCAGCCCGTGCTCCCTGGGCATGTCCGGCAGCCTGTGCCTGCCGACAGCACGCCACAGATGCGCGCAGGGGCCTCTCCTCCCCACCACGTTTAAAGGAAACTCGGAAATGGCAGGTGGGAAAGGGCGATTTGAACCAGGGGTGCCCATATGCCACAGGGCCTACAGTGAAGCCCCCTTTCCCAAGGGGCTGCCTGCGGCCTGGGGTCCGGACAGCTGCTTCCCTGGCGCCGTACCAGATTCGTACTCTCGATTTTGTACACAGCGCTTCCTTGCCAACAAAACACTTTAAGACCTTCAGGTTTCACTGGAAAGTTACCTCCAATGTCACAAGACTTGTCAACTTTTACCTTTTGAAGATTAGTTACCCAGTCCCTGGCAGAGTGCTCAGGCCAGCCCAGGTGTCCGCACAGCAGACCAACTGGTACTTGAAGGGAAAGGAAAGAGCCTGGCCTTCTCCTCCCACCTCAAGACAACAGCTGTAGTGGGTTTTCTGGAGCCCCAAACAGCCCAGAATGGAGCCTAGAGAAATGCAAAGGCCTGTTAGTGCCACCTCAAGATTCCGCGTTGTCCCCCCTTCTGGAGTGGAGGCTAAGCTCTGTACAGACAGCACAGAGAAAGGCCCCCCCCGGCAGGAAAAAGTATATGCTGTCATGTACCAGCCTGGGCGGTTTTCACCCATCACCTGAGAAGGACCAGAGACAGGCTCGATAATCCCCAGGGCACTGTGGCCTGGCCTGGCCTGGGCACCGGCTCCTCAGCATGCAGGGCCCTCTTCCTGCAGGGCGAAGACAAAGCGCACTGGAGGCCATCCCCAGAGGGTGGATCTCAGGGTTCTGAGGAAAAACAGGATCAGTACAGCACAAACGCGAGAGGGGTAAACACAAGCTTGTGCATTTTCTATTTTTTGTTATTAAGTGCATCTGTTCCATGTACACAGTTTGTAGACTGTTTCTTGGAGAATGCACAGTCTGCAAGTGGCTATCCGTGTCCCTGCCACAGAGGCAGCAACACGAGCCCATTGCCACTGTGACGTCTCCTAAACTAGCGGAAGCCCCTCAAATCCCAGGTGTCACCAACTGCATTCTGTCTCTTCAGCACCTGGGACCAGGTCAAGCAGCAGTGCCTGCAGGACAAAGCATAAGGAGGCACCCTCAGGCCAGGAGAAAGCCCCTCTGGTGTACAGGGGGAAGAAATGGCTCCACTGTCCGGAGAAAGTTGTCCATCGATGGGCCATGGTCTGGGGGCAGCAGGGAACACTGTCCCTTTGCTTCAGGATGTCCTATCCAGCGGGTGGGCACAGACGTAGGCTTGCTTCTCGAGGATCTGCTGGGACACCTTCTTAATCTGCTCATCTAGATTTTCTGGAGAATCTGGGAAGAAAAAAGAATAGGCTTGTGAGGACAGAGTATTGCTAGGGCTGCTGTGTTTTTTTGTTTTTTTTTTAAGATTTTATTTATTTATTTGAGAGAGAATGAGAGACAGCATGAGAGAGAGGAGGGTCAGAGGGAGAAGCAAACTCCCTGCCAAGCAGGGAGCCCGATGCGGGACTCGATCCCGGGACTCCAGGATCATGACCTGAGCCAAAGGCAGTAGCTTAACCAACAGCCACCCAGGCGCCCTCTGTTTTGTTTTAAAGTTGGCCCACCCACTGTGAAGGAACCCTAAAGGTAACTCTCCTCCTCCACACCCCTAGGAGGTGATTCTGGCTGCAGGGAGAAACCGGGATGGGGCTTCATCCTGAAAGACAAAGGGCCTCATCCTGTTAATCCCTGAGAACTCTGGATCTTGTGGGAGCAGGGGCTGGAGAAGGACCCTCTTGCCAGTCAAGCCTACAAGAGGAACAACCATGTCTTCCCACAACAGCACGGAACAGACACGCTAGCACCCAGAGCCAGGAGCTGCACGCAATTTTGTGCTCCTCTCCTCCATCACTTGGCAACAGGGCTGGGCTCTACAGCAGGGGACACATGACACGGAGCCCTGAGGCCAAAACAACTCTAAGGGTCAGAAGAAGAATCTGAGCCAGGTGTTCTCAGACATGGCCAAGGGGCTAAGGTAAAAGAGGAGCATTCCAGACAAACAGCCCTATGAGCCAAGCCCCTGCAGAGGCTAGGGCCAAAGCCTGGGACATATGCTAGGAGGGCAGCTGCCAGACTTGGGCCAGACCTGTGGGAGCTCTGACAGTCTTCACCTGCAGGTACATGCTCCTATCTGGCAGGCCCTGCTGCAGATGCACCCAACCCTACCAGCCATCACTCAAGGGAGAGCTTGGTGAGCAGCTAGCAGGCCCTGGGAGCCTGGCCATCAACAGTCACCTGGACTCAGGCCCACACCTCCCTCCCAAGGCCACCCTACTTACACTTGTCCAGCTGGGACAGGGTGAAGACATTCTGGTAGTAAGCTTCTGCACAGAAGATGTTGGCCAGCAGAACCTGCCAGAATTAAGGTTGAAGAGGATGACGTAGGGCACCCCCCACGCCACCCCACCCCACCCTGGTGTGTGAGTTTTATTTTTTTATTTTTTTTTAAAAGATTTTATTTGACAGAGACACAGCGAGAGAGGGAACACAAGCAGGGGGAGTGGGAGAGGGAGAAGCAGGCTTCCCATCGAGCAGGGAGCCCGATGCGGGGCTCGATCCCAGGACCCTGGGATCATGACCTGAGCCGAAGGCAGACGCTTACCGACTGAGCCACCCAGGCCCCCTGGTGTGTGAGTTTTAAGGAACTCAGCCAAACTCAGCAGCTTGGCTGGGGTCAAAAGGCCTGGCTCAGGAGTCAGAGTCTTAGGTTCTAATTCCAGCCCTGACCCAACTAGCTCTGTCCCAAGAGCAAATTACTCAACACTTTTGAGCCTCAGTTTCCTCTACGGCAGGAGAGCCATCATAATCCTAGTGCCCACAGGCTGTTGTGGGACAATGCACATAAAGACCCAGCACACAGTCAGTGACTGCATCCAGCCCCTCAGGCAGGGTGAGGAAGGCAGACGGGGTGAGGGCACAAGGTCTGGGATCCTATCACTCACCTACCCCTCTTCCCTCAGGTAGAAAGACAAAAGGGAGTGGCCCCGTGTCCTGAGCAGCACAGACCTTCTCATCGGAGCTGACCACCAGTGCTGGCCACGGCCACAACTCAGCAAACCTGCCAGCCTCCTGGTACCATGCCTGGGCCAAGGCCCTTGACTTGCCCATGCCACCCACTGACCCCCTCCCCCAACCACAGGCTTCATTAAAGTGCAGGGGATAAAGCCAGCAGAGAGGCTCACCTCGTGGTCGTGATTTCGGATCCCCACTCGGATCGAGCGGCTGGCCCTCGACAGCACGGCCGTCATGCCGTATAGGTTGATAAGGATGTTGGCTACCCGCTTCAGGATCATCTGCTCCTCCATGATGGTCTGTGGACACAGAGCCCAGGTGGAGACTTGCAACTCAGGGCCTCCCTCCCTGGGCACATCTTCAGCCATCTTCAAGACTCATTTCATGCCTCAGTGAAGAGGGGCTGACACTGCCTCTCCCTTTGGGTTGTGAGAGGCTGGCTCACTGGCTGCCTTGTTTTCCGTGCTGTCTAGATTTGGGCATGAGTCAAGACAAGACCAGGTCCCAGAAACCTGGCTGAGACCACTGGCTGTTGCTTACTGTTCTCATGTCACCCTGAGTAGCAACAGCCTCACAGAGCAGGGCCCTAGATTTGGGCCCAGGCAGGGCTGCCCTCCCTACTCCAAGGAACCTCTCTCTACCAGGAAGGCACCCACCCAAGTGGCCCCCGGGAACAGGCAGCCCCACCCCACCCCTTCATGGTGAACAAGATTTCTTTCTAGGCTTGGTCCCAAAGGCAAACACTTGGGAAAACACCCCATCTCCCTAACCCCCAAGTCAGAGGGCCTGCCATCCCCAGATCTGGCAGGGGCCCGGGTACCTTGCCAAAGCGGAGTAGCAGTGTCTCCACAGTGCGGCCAAAGTAATACACGTTCTCCTCGAGCTTGCTGGCACTGTCCTAAGTATGCCAGGGGAAAGACCACTGAGCGACACCTCCCCCACAGTGCCCATCCCACCTGGCTGGGGCTCTGGAGCCCAGGGGCTCTGCTACCAGGCTGGGCCATCCTCCCCAACACCCTGGTCACAGCCCTCTGGAAGGGGATATCCATCAGGAGGGCACCCACATGGGGGGTATGCCACGTGTGCCCACTCACTGCGACACTGGGGTGCACCGCTCCCAGCTTCCCTGTCAACCCCAGATCCACGGTTCGGCCCAGGGAGTCTCGCAGCCTCTGGCCGACGGTCTCAATGATAGTGGTCATGTTGCCCCGTTTAAGCTCTCTGCAGAAAGCCCACGGCCCTGTGACCTCAGGCCCCACCGCTGGTTCCCATTGCCCAGCAACACCCATTCCCTCTGACTATCCAAGGCATTCAAGGGACCAACTCAGGATCCAGGTGCTGCCCTGCCCTGGGCCTGCTGGATGCCCAAGACCTCCCTGCCTGTCAGAGAACAGCTGGTCTCTGAGGTGGAGCCACACAGAGCGCTCAGTCACAGTCACAGCCAGCCCCCAGGGGGTGCTCTGGGGTGAAGGAGTCTGCAAAATGCTCTGAGCAGCCCATACTGGGCTCCAGCAGTGATTTCTAAGTGCTCCAGGCTCACGATGGGGGGCAAGAGGAGCAAGAGAGTGAGAGAAGAGAGCAGTCTCGTGTTAGCCTTCAAGCCCAGCGCCTATTGGGAGGGATAGTTCTCGTTCTCCAGGTTCTGAAAACAAAGCTCCCTGCAGCGTGGGAGACGGGAACTGCCGGGGGAGGAGGGTAGTGAGGCAGCTGGTCCCACTTATCACCTGCAGATGAAGGCCAAACTCTAGAGCCTGGCTTTTAAGGCTCCTGTCCGCTTCCCTCCCTCCAGCCAGCCTCTGACTACATGGCTCCATGGCCCCCATCCCAGGACAGGGCAGCCCCCCCTCTGCCGCCCCAGGATGGACCTCTGATGGGCACACGGGTTTGGCACCTACTTGATCCTTGCAGTCAGGATGCGGCCGGCATGCTGTAGGCCTGTCAGTGCAATATACATCCGGAGAATCTCGTTGGTTCCCTGTGGCCAGATCAGTATGGAAGTCAAGCTGGCCCCACTGGGATGGCCCTGTTTGTGCTGTGCATGTAACTGGGTTGGCCACCCCACTGCCCACTTGCCAGTGCCACGGAAGCTGCTGCTCTGGAAGCAGCCTCCCACTGGGAACAGGGCTGTGAGCTGAGGGTGAGGGCAACACGCTGGCTACCCCTCCACAGGGACGAGCAGGGGGCTGACCAGATGGCCGGGGCCTCCCTCAGGGTCTACCGCCTCTCTGTGAACAACCAGACAGGAGTCATTCCTTTTTCCAAGCCTCCAATTCGGCTTCTTTAAAATGGGAGAAACCACCTTCCCCAGGAGGGAGGGGTGCTGGTGCCCAGGCGCAGCAAATGCTGGGTGGGTGCCACCAGATTCCTCAGGGAAGCCCCCGGCCACTGAGCACAAGAGCTGGCTGCTCCCCAGTGCCAGGTACCCATACCCAGAGGGCCGCCTCTCCCCTGCTGCTGCACCTGCGCGCACTGCTCACCACCTGGGATCTTGTCCGGGAGGCGGGCCGCACCTCTGCCCCACGTGCACAGTGCGCTGCAGGTCACACGGCCAGCGCTGGGCACTGAAGCCTGCAGCCAGGCTGGGCCGTGGACAGGACACTCCCATGGGAGAGAAGAGGAGCTTGGAGGCCTGCAGGCTAAGGTGTGTCCCATCCTGCAGACTGGAGCATTTGCTTCATACTGAGGGCTCCGTGGCCCTCCGTGCCCCCCAGTCAGGACCAAATTCAACTGGCCAAGGGGAAAGGGCTTTAGAAGAAGCAGTCCTGGGGCAGCAGGGATGGGACATGTCCCTATGCCCTTGGGAAAGTGCCCCTTGTGCCCTCACGCTGGTCACATCACATCCTGTCTCTAAGGAAGAGGACCAAGGGCTGGGATGCTGGGGGGCATGCCGGGAACAAGAACAGCCATGGGGTCTTCCCCCTGGGTTGGGGAGCCCAGGAGCTGGGCCCCACCTCCATGAGATCTGAAGGTGTCCTTCAGAAACCACACCGGTTGCTCAGGCTCCAAGCCTCATCTACGGGTCTGCCTCCTGGACACCCTACGACCATCCTAAAATTCCATCCATCTCTCTCTACAGCCTCTGAAGTCAACCCCTCTCTTCTGCAGCATGCATCTGGCCTCTACAACCCTCCCCTGCAACCCCCATCAGCCCCTGGGGAATTTCCCAGAATGGGAATGCATTCAAGTCATTCCCTGCTCAGAAACCTCTGATGGCTTCCAGTGCCTGCACAGTAAGATCCAAATTCTTCTGCTTATCAGTCAAGGTCCTCCATAGCCTGGCTACTTATCTCCCCTTCCCATCTACCCTCTGCCCCCACCCCCATCAACTTTTCTACTACCTGCCCCAGCTCCCCCCCTACTAGGACTATTCACTGTTCCCACAAAGACTTGCTTATTCTAGCCAGCACTGGCAGGTAAGGCCTGATCGGGCCTGGCACATTCCATCTCCCTGTCCTTGGCCCAAACCACCCTCCCCTTGGCCAGGCCACAGTTGTTTCTGCCCCCAAAGGCTAAGTGCACTTGCTTCCTGAGACTCCAGCCCACTGTAGGGGGAGGTGCCGCTCAGGCCCTCACTGCGCGGGTATTCCACACTCCACCCGCGTCAGGCCATTCAGTCAGACCGCAAGCTCCCCAAAAGCTTCTCTGGGGCCCCAACCCCCCTTTTCTTACCCCACCCGGGGTCTCCCCCTCACTGAATTCCCTTTTTAGGCTTGTGAACCCATGGAGGGGGGCAGCAATTAGAGAGGGAGGTGTCAGGGCTGGGGAAGCCTGTGGAGAGGACACTGCTGAGTTGCCTCCGTATCCTGAGGAGGAAAGCCAGACCCAGAATGAGCCCTGGAGGTACAACCGGACCTCCCGTGGGATCTCTGCTTGTCCCACCACCACCAACGGAAGTGCAGACTCAGCAGAAAGGGCCCTCGCTTGGCCCCTCAGCCTCCCCTCCACCCCTGGGAAACGGGGCTATGCAGAGGCGTTGAGGAGATGAGAGCACTCGGGGTGGGTGGTGGGATTGCTGGGCACTCACCTCGAAGATGAGCAGGATGCGGCTGTCACGCAGAAAGCGCTCGTACGGGTAGTCCTTCACGTAGCCTGAGCCCCCGAGGATCTGCAGTGCCTCGCTCACACACTGCCAGGCACCCTCTGAGCTGAACACCTGCCACAGAGCCAGGACCCAGTTAGCACAGGGGCGGCAGTGCCGGGTGCCTTCCACAAGGGGGGGTCTCAGCCAGGGCAGGTTGGCTGGGGATGGAGTGGGAGGCTCGGCGTGGAGAACCTGGCTCTAGGACGAGACTGACCCAGGTAGCAGCCCTGTCACAGTCTCACTGGGTGGCTTCGGGCACGTCCTTTTCTTCCTGGACCACAGTAACCAGCCGTGGCTCCCCACCCACCATGACTCTTCCTACCTCTGAGGCTTCCTTGGGGTGGAAGCGCCCACTCCATACCTTCCACACGGAGAAAACTCCTGTCCTTTTAAAACCCACCTCAGACTCCCTCTCCAGGAGGCCTGACCCTGCCCACCCAGCCCCATTCACCCACAGCTTGCTCCTCTGCATGTGAGCTGCTTGGCGTGACACCTGGCTGTGGGTATGCAAAAGTGGAAGGCCGTCCACCCACAATAAAAGTCCTTCTCAAGAAAGCTCGGCTGCTATGGCATACCGATGGGAAATTATAAAACACGGCCTATATTCTCTCCATCTGCTATCAACTGGTGACAACTTGGCATAAACTGTGCTGGGGTGACACTGTCCTGTCCTATAAACACACTCTACTGGGCACTGTTCTTTCCTGTTTCTCCCGTGCCATGCTGGCCTCCCCAGCTGCATCCTAGGGCCATGCCTGGCACATGGTGGGGATGTCATAAATATTGGATCAATGATAAACTGACCTATAAGCTTGCGAGAAGAGGAAGACGGCAGGGAACACTGGGTCTGAAAGGCCGCAGCTAAGGAGCTATTCTGGGTCTCTCAGGCTGGGCAGGGATTACCTTCACCATGGCAGCCTCGATGGAGCAGTCAGGAAACCCTGGTTGGTCCAGCATGCCCGCAGTGAGGTAGGCCATGCTTTCCATTACATAAGCTTTCTGAGCCATGAGGGCAAACTTCTCCTGGGGTGTTCAGAAAAAAACACAATCAAGAAACAATTTGCATGTGCTGAGACCCAGATGTGCCAGCCAGCAGAGAAAATAGTGAAGTCCAGAGCCTCAATGCCCAAGAGCACCAAGCCCCAGCATTCATGACAGCGAGCCACATTAAATAAAGCCTTATCTTGTCTTCTTCCCAATCACTGCACGGGAGTCACCAGCACAGACCACACAGGCACTTTCCATGCCCACACGTGAAACCAACACATGCAGCGCCCATAACCTTCAGTACCTGAATTAGTCCGAATTCACTGAGGTTCTTGTTGAACTGTTTCCTCGTGCAGGCATATGCAGCAGTCATTTCTGAAGAAGAGCAAGAGTCATTAAAAAGAACCATTTTCCGGCTATCCTAAAACGATTTCCTAAGGCTATCATCATTACCCTGCAAACACTCAGGCAGGAACTATGAGAAACAGGTCTGCTGAGACCAAACACCCTGCCAGACAGCGCTGCCCCTTCCTAGCGTATCTGGCCAGACAGGGCTGAATCTGGCCCTTTTTCTTACCAGATGATAGGCCGGGCCAAGCAACCACCATCCCTGAACATCACCACTGACCTCACAGCATTGCTGCCAAGGCTGCCAGAGCTGCAGGTGTTAAGTAAGGCACCCAGCATGGAGCCAGGGCCCTGGAAGCACCCAATAGGAGAAGCAGGCTCACGCCTGTCACAGCTGTCCATCACCAGAGCAGGAGGGCAGCCTGTCGTGTATAAAGCGGCCTCCCAGTGGTCAGTGGCAAATGCCAGCCCCTCCCCCTGCAGTCAGCCTCCTCCAGAGTCTACCTCCTTTGGGGGCAGGCCGACCATGAGAGCCCCCATGAAGCTCTTGCATGGAGGAGTTTTCCTGATGGGGAAGCAGAGGCCCAGGGCACTTCAGGGCCTTGGGAGCAGCTTAGCAAAGTGAGCCAAGGCCTGAGTTTGGAGTCTGACAGGATCAGCTTTTAGACACAAATGAGTAGCCTTGGATTAATCACTTACCCTCTCTGAGCCTCAGGCTCCTCATCTAGGAAATGGAGGTAAGAGATGAAAACAAAGCCTCCCTGTCCCCACCTGGCCCTGAACTCTGAGGAACTTCATAAGCACTACATCAGCACCCCCACAGCCAGGGCCCCGTGCCTTTCCCTGCAGTCACCTCCACAAAGCTAAGATGATAATGACATCCATGCCCAACAAAAACCCTACAGGGTTGTTCTAAGTTCACTGACAAAAAATTCTAGGTTTCAGGTATGCTAACAGAAAAAACAAAGGGAAGATCCTGAGGCTAAGTGATCGGAGTTCCACTCCTCACCCACTGGGTCTCCCACTGAATTAGCACTGATGTCTTCCTCACATCTGGATGTTTGTGAAGTAGCTCTGTTCTTAGTGGTCAGAGCAGCAACCCCTCTTGACCTCTGATGGTCCGCTCCCCCACTCCCCTGATCCTTTGTGAATAGGTAAAACAGAGGAGTGTGAAAAAGGAACATTAACCACTTGGGGGCAGATTGACCACATTTTTGGGTCTAAACCAAAGTCTGAATCTTAAACTGCAGCTGGGCTGTCTGTCCATCCGAAGGCCGGGCTCAGCAGCAGCCTGTGTAAGGACATGGTAGAGCCTCCAGGGTGGAGTGGGGGCTGCAGGGGCAAGACTGGGCCACAAAAGGCTCCTGTCCCTGACTTACCTACCAATCAATTTCTTGAGCATCCCGGCCACAGTGCTGCCCATGCTGAACCGCCCACTGTTGAGGATGTTCATGGCTACCTGCAGGGAGAGAGGGGGCGGCTCACTGAGACTGCACTCCCCAAGTGACCTGCTCACCCCTGCTGTGCTGGGAAAAGCCCAAAGGTCCTGGAGGACCACAGGTGACAGACCACAGCACTGCTTGTCTATTTTTACCAGATGGTTTCTTGAGGACAAAAGGCAAGTCTCTAGAGAATTCTGTGCCCGCATCTAGGAAAGTTAATCGTCCTGCCAATCCCCACCAGGCTAGGAGACAGTGTGGTCCCAACACATCACAACAAGGTAACTCAGTCACAAACATCCTTGGAGTCACCTCCTGATAAAGGAACCGGACAACATTATTCCAGTAGAACAGGCCAATTCTTAGTCCTCAGAGGAGGGGCAGAAACTAAGACCTACTGGGTACACCCTGCACGCTACCAAGACTTTCCCACCGGCACGAGCCTCCTGAAGGACAGTAGTAACCCGCCAAGCCCCTCCCACGCCTGTGAAGCCCAACTAGGAGGCCTCAAAGACAGGCTGGGGCTGAGGGCAGAAAGGAGTCTGTGAACACCACAGTTTTCCTAAAAGCTCAACTCCAAGCGTATTACTGCTTTTCACTGAATGCTTATGTGTGACTTATGCAAGTGATTCTGAATTTATGATTACTTGTTAACCTGAACGGGAGAATCTCAAAGCAGACACTGTGAGGTTGGAAACTGCTCCAATGACTTGGGGGGAGGGGGGGCGGGCGCAAGTGCAGATTCCACCTGCTGAGTCCTAGGGGACTGGGGAATGCAGGAACAAGGCCCGGCCTTGGGGGCTGAATGAGGGAGCAGGCGCGGTTATGTCCCACCACAGTGTGATACCCAGATCCTGCCCTGCCTCCTCTGGGGGCCATGCCTCTGATTTCAGACCGCCTGAGTCTCAGGCCTCGGGTGTGCACTCGTCTCGGGACCTGCCAGGACTATGAGGAGCAAGTGAATTCTCCCACCTCATCCTCTCTGCCCACATGGGCTTGTAAAAGCCAGTTCATGGTTTTATGAAAGCAATCCATTTCATGGCCCCTTCAGAATTTCTTCTTACGCTCATTAAAAAAAAAGAGAGAGAAAGAAAGAAAAAAGGATTCGAGACTAGATCTCATTCCCCGGAAGATCAAAGACCTAACAGATTTTGCCCTTTTTCAAGATGGGCTCCTGAGCTTAAATATCAACCCTCCTCAACCATGGGGCCTCCCCTCCTGCCTATGAGGCACCTGCCAGCTTTACGAGCTTCTCTCCCGCAGATGTCCCTTACAATGGCATTCTACACCGCACTTTGCCAGAAGCGAGACACAATCCACGCTTCCAACAGCCCCTGCCTGCTGCCATACCTCAAAGGTCTGACTATCGATAAAACCTCTGACTGGGTGCCTGGGTGGCTCAGTTGGTAAGCGTCTACCTTCGGCTCAGGTCATGATCCCAGGGTCCTGGGATAGAGCCCCGCATCGGGCTCCCTGCTTGGCGGGAAGCCTGCTTCTCCCTCTCCCACGCCCCCTGCTTGTGTTCCCTCTCTCGCTGTGTCTCTCTCTGTCAAATAAATAAATAAAATCTTTAAAAAAACAAAAAACCTCTGATTAACCAGAGGAGGAGGCTCTTCCTTTTCTCCCACTTTAGCCAGGCGATTTTCACCTGGCCTCCGATCATTTTGTGGTCTCTGGGATCACTCACTTTTTAGCATTTAGGCCAACGGGCAAGCAATCCTACTAATAAAAAAGAAAGGGCTTTGGAAATCTATGTTCTTTTGCATATTAAAATAATTGTTTTTACATCTAACACAATGGGGAAAATGTCTCAATGCAGTGTGGAAAGGACTAGGGCAAGGGGCATTCCCATACAGGAACCAGCCCAACTCTCCACATGTAACCTGGCAGCGGGGGCCAACAATTAAAAATGCTTGTGCCCTGAGCTGGAAAGCCTACTGCTGGGTGTTTAAACTGTGGAAGTAATCAGACAAGTGTGCACAGATACAAGCAAGGAGATAGACCACGCAATATGGTTCTGAGTAGGAAAGAGGAGAAAACAGTGTTAAATGCCCGACCCTGGGAACATCAAATGTGCCACCACCATACAAAAAAATACTCTGCAGTGTAAAATATTAGCAATATACATTTACTAGCATGAAGAGAGTATTAGGATTTCTTGATAAATGAAAAAATACAGGTTATATTACACAAATAGCATTACCAAATGTTTAAGAGATGTATGCTCTTTAAAAAGGTCTAGAAAGGGGCACCTGGGTGGCTCAGTCAGTTAAGCGTCTGACTCTTGATCTCAGCTCAGGTCGTGATCTCAGGGTTGTGAGTTCAAGCCCCATGTTGGGCTCCATGCTGGAATGGAGCCTACTTTACCTAGCTTAAATAAATAAATAAATAAAAAGGTCTAGAAAGATGAGCACCCAAACTGAACGATGAATAGCAACTCTCTTAGAATCGAGCTTCAGCTAATTTCATTTTTTCCATCTATATTCTCTCATCTGTATATAACATCTGAGTTACACAAATAAACATACCACTATGCACACACTGCTCCCTTTTTGTCCTTTCACCTCGTAAGTCATTTGGTCCACATTCACCAAGCAGCCTCCAGCCAGGAGCTTTGGCTGAATGCATTTATCAGATTCTCATAATACCCAGGAATGGAGAAAGGTATTGCTGTGATCCCTGCTTCACAGCCAAGGTGGGTGGGGCTCCCCAGAGCGAAGATACTTGCCCAGGTCATCTGGTAAATTAGGGCTGGGAAACAATAAAGACAGCCAGTTGGCAAAGGAGGGGGGCCTGGGTGGCTCAGTGGGAGTGTGCGACTCTTGATTTCGGGGACATGAGTTCAACCCCATGTTGGGTGTAGAGATTACTAATAAATAAGCTTAAAAAAAAATGGGCAAAGGATCTGAAAATACATTTCTCTAAAGAAGATGTACAAATGGCCAATAAGCACATGAAAAGATGCTCAACCTGATCACTCATTAGGAAAATCTAAGTCAAACCACAATCAGATATCACTTCACACCCTCCAGGATGGCTATAATTTTAAAAATGCCCAATAACAAGTATCGGTGGGGATGTGGAGAAACTGGACCCTCCTACGCTGCTGCTGGCAAGGTAAGTGGTGCAGCCACTAGGGAAAACAGTCTGGCAGTTCCTCAGAAAGAACATACTGTCACCATATGACCCAGCAAAGTTCCTTCTAGGTATATATACCCAAAAGAACTGAAAACATACTGTTCACGCAGAGACTGGTATATGGATGTTCATAGTAGCATTATTGATAATAGTCCCAATGTGGAAACAGTCCAAATGTCCATGAGCTCACGAATGGACAGATGTGGTGTGTCCCTACAATGGAATATTATTCAGCTACAGAAAGGAATGACAAGTGCTACAGCATGGATAAACCTTGAAAACATTATGCTAAGTGAAAGAAGCCAGACACAAAAGGTCGCATATGGATTCCATTTACACGGAATGTTCAAAATAGGCAAATCCATAGAAACAGAAAGTAAAGTAGCGATTACCAAAGACTGGGAAAGGGGAAATGAGAAGATACGGCATTTCTTTCTGGGGTGATGAAAATGTTCCAGAATTAGACCCTGGTGATGGTTGTACAACACAGTGAATATACTAATACCCACGTGTACATTTGAAAATTAGTAAGTTTATGTGATATGAGTTTTAGGTCAATTAAAAAATAATAAATCTGACTCTAAGACAGGACCCATGGCTATGCACTCAGAGAGCCTGAGCTTCCTCAGTGCCCGCTGGCCTGCTTTCTTTCACTTGCTGGAGAGAGGAATCCTATCCCTACTTGAGGCAAGGGAAGCCTCGCAGTACCACACACTCCGTCTTCTGGGAGCCACCTTCTCCATCTGCTCATTTCCCGGAGAACTACACACAGTCACCTGGCAAGCACGCGCTGGTTGGCTATAAGCAGGGATGGGACAGGGGGCTGGGGGCCAACAAGCTACACCATGAACCTGCACGGCCCTCATGGGGGCTGCTCCCATGACGCACCTTAAACCCGCCTCCGACTTCTCCAAGAACATTTTCGATGGGCACCTTGGTGTTTTCAAAATGCACCTCACAAGCTGAAAAAGATGAAATTGAAGGCCTTACCTGATGAATGCAGAGCACTTGCACTGGAACCATAGGCATGAAATGTAATTCATTCATTTGTTCACTCATTCAATCTCCAGCTACTGAAAGAATAGTACAGAGATAAGGTTCCTGTTCACGTGGAGCCCCTACTTTGCTCGGGACATGATGATGTTTAAGTACTATAGATGAAATAGAGAGTGGTGACAGAATCAGAGGTTGGAGAGGGGGCAGATAGTAACATTTTTGTTAGGGGTTTCCATCAGGCTTTTCTAAGGGGACACTTGGCAGAAGTTTGGAGGAGCATGAGCCAGAAGCAGAACCATGGAAGTGGACAGCACAGGCCTTCTAAGGTGCCTGGATTCAATGGGAGTGTGGGTCCCACTTAACTCAGATGCACTCGCAGCCTGCTCTGTGCTCTGCGGAAGCGGACGGCCTTTCCCTGCCTTGCCCAGCCAGCTGTCGCCAGGGGCACGGAGCCCAGCCAACGCGAGCCCCGGCTGTCCCTGTGCTGGTGTGGTCCCGCTCAGCCCGCCAGGGGCTCCTGTGAGCTGCTGTGAGAACAAGCCCCAGCACGGTACACACGCAGCCGACTGGGGCCCCACCCACAGCCCGGAGCAGGCTGCCCAGCACCCGCAGGCTGCGAGAAGGGCTCGCTGGCAGCTGAGCGCTCAGGTGGTTTCTCAGACAGGGGGACGGGGGCAGCCCCCGAAGTCAGGAAGCGCTTGGTGTGCAGAGGCAGGCAGAGAAGGGAAAGCGTGGCCGCGGTGAGGACAGAGGCGGGAGGGAACAGGGGCTTTTGCACCATGTTTTCCGTAGCAGCATCTTACCGGCTGTCACACACAGCAGCTCCCAGCAACTTAACACCGGAAAAAAAGGGAGCCTCAGGACAAAGAAGGCCACGGCTCAAGAGCAGCCAAACAGCAAGCAACCAGGTCTGCTGACTTTTTATTCTACTATTCCAATGGCACGGCTGTGAAATACAATGAAATCCTCTCTTTGGCTGCTGGTCCTATTTTATAACAGATGGGCTACAGGGCCAGGCCCTTGTCCCAGTGACTCTAATTCCTTCACAGGCTGCTGAGTGTGGGGAGGATGCTGCCTCCCTCTCTGACCTCACTTTGGGCCACTCTATCCACTCTTGTGGGGCCACTGACGATCCCAGGGACACCACCTACCCTGACTTCAGTGCGGACACTGGCCCAGCAGTGGTGCAGGCTGCCACCCTGCTCTCTCCCTCACCCGGGTCACTCTGACCACCTTCTCCCCACCAGCACATCATGCTCTTTATCTTGGGCCTTTGAGCATGCTCCTTTCTCTGCTAGAAGGTTCTAAGTAAGTATCAATAGGCAGCATGAGCCTGGTGGGAGGTAACACCTGCTTCCATATGCACGAAGCATTATACAGATGTCATAACACTCCCTTCCCAGGTCATGTCACCAGGTGCATTCTAGTAGCACTCCTTTCCGTTAGGTGAGGAAACGGAAGCATAGGAAAGTAAATGAGCTTGTTTGAGGTCACAGAGTTTCTAGGCAGTGGAGCCAGGTCAGAGCTCAGCGCCCTGTGACCCTGCTGAACCAGGCTGCTATGGCAAATATTGCCATCCAGAACCCAGAATCCCTAAAGAAGAGGTGGCAGACAGGAGCAGGTCTGGAGGGGCCACCTGCAGTCCCCTGAAGCAGAGATACCCCATGATCTGAACTAGGAGCCCCAAGAAGCAGTCTTGTAAGGACTCCATGGCAGTGCTGGTCGGGTCGGAAGCCACTTACAGGACGCCAGCTTCATGGGGACCAAGTGCTGCTCAGGGGATGCAGGTGGCCCCGGGTGGGTATGAGGGAGAGTGAGAGGAAGGAGGAGGGTCCAGGCAGGAAAGATGGGGTGTCCTGCAGTGGAATGTTTACCTAGGACACCCCTCTGCCTCCCTGGTGTCCATTACAGCCTCCCTCACAGGGCAAAGTGCTCACAGGGAGATCACTATGGCCTCCACATGGAGAGGGGCACACGCAACATGTGTTAAAAGAATAAATTAGCGGGGCGCCTGGGTGGCTCAGTCGTTAAGCGTCTGCCTTCGGCTCAGGTCATGATCCCAGGGTCCTGGGATCGAGCCCCACATTGGGCTCCCTGCTCTGCGGGAAGCCTGCTTCTCCCTCTCCCACTCCCCCTGCTTGTGTTCCCTCTCTCGCTGTGTCTCTCTCTGTCAAATAAATAAAAAAAAATCTTAAAAAAAAAAAAAAAAGAATAACAGCTTCAAGGCGCTCCTCGGCATTGCCACGGAGTCACTGGGGCATTCTTAATGTGACTTTACTGACATGTTTATATGGAAGCAAAACTATTTACATCTCATTTGATCTGGAATTTGGATGGGGCCGAAGGGTGCCCCCCCCCATACACACAGCCCCCCCACACTGCACGCGTGCTACTTACTGTTGGAGCCGCGTATGCCTAACTTATCCTCAGGCTTCCCGTTAGTGACTCCACCGAAGGCTCTCTCTACTATGAATGCTGTGATCTTGTCTTTTACTGAGCTGTCGGAATCAACCACCTCTGTCTTTGCAAACACAGTAAAAATATTGGCCAGTCCTCCATTGGTGATCCAGACCTGAGGGAAGAAAGAGCAAGGGCTTTGGAGAAAACCAAACTTATGCACCCCCCATCAGCTCCACCCTTTGCCACAAGACATCCCAGCGGCCTGTAAAACTTCAGGCCAGAAACATAAAGCTCCTGGCTCTGGGGAAGCCAAGCCTGTGTGGACAGAAGACAGGGGTTCACCCCAGGCTCCCCAAGAGGCACAGGTGGCCATGTTTGTGTGTCTGCACACAAAAGGGAAGCCAATGGTACTGAGCCAGCTCAAGCTCCAGAACCAAGCAGCCAGGGTTCCTCAAGAAAGCAGAGCAGGCAGGCAGGAAGGAGAGGGGAAGAAGGAAGGGGGTAGGGAGGGAGAAAGATAAGGAGACTTCTCAACAAACTGCAATGTATGGAACTTATCTGGACCTTGATTCAAGCCAACTGTCAGAAAATAAAAAGGTAAGAGACAATCAGGGAAACTGGAATGCTGATAGACAAAGAAATGATCAATTTTCAAATGTGAGAATGGCATTTTGACTTTGTATTTAAAACAGTCTCATCTTGTAGAGACACTCTGAAACTCTCAGAGACGCGACACAGGCGTGGCCGTGCTGATGGAGGAAACAAGGCGGGCTGGGGGTAGGAGCTGCTGAGGCCAGTGCCGGCGGCGAGGAAGCTCGTTATACTAAACTTTTACATGTGTTTGAAATCTGGTCACTTCACCTCCCTGAGCCACAGTTTCTTTTTCCAGAAAAACAGTCGCACCCACCCAAGAGCTGATGTGTACGTGCTTTACAACCCGTGGTGTGTGGGAGGTGGTCAGTGCGTGGTGAAGGCTGTGGCTGAGGGCCCGAGCAGGCCACAGAGCGCTACCTTGGAGCCATTGAGGATGTAGTGCTTCTTATCCTCACTCAGCGTGGCCCTGGACTTGATGGAGGCCGCGTCACTCCCACTGTGGAAACAGAAACACGCAGCTGAGGCGAGCGACGCTGGGGATGAGGAACAGTTCTGGGAGGCGGCAAATGGAGGGTTTGGTACCTTAACACAGGAGTTGGCTAACTTTTAAAAATAAAGGGCCAGTTAATAAACGTATTCAGCTTTGCAGGCTACAGGATGTCTGTTCCAGCTGTTCAACTCTGCTGCTGCGGCATGAAGGGGCCACAGACAACCTGTAAACAAAGGGCATGCTCCAGCAAAGCCTTATTTACAAAGACAGGCGGCAGGCTGGATTTGGCCGCCCCCACTTCACCACACGAAAGAGTGGCAGTGAAAACAACCTGGCCTTAGGCTGAAATGTGGGGATGTATGCGTAGAACGAGCTCATCTGAGCTCCTGTGAGGAGGACTGCAGGGCACCCCTGGTTCCCAAGTGACAGGAAGCAGGATGGAGTGTGGTCCAAGTAACGGACTTGTCAGTAGAAGTCCTGAGTCCTAAGCAGGCCTTGTGACCTTGGGCTGATGACACCACCCAACCTGTTCAGTGGGGACAGTACTGGCAAGTTGCTTAGGAGCCTGAATGCACTATCCTATGTGAGGAGCACTGCAGACCACAAAACAACTGTCTGACGGGTGCTGTCAGGTACGTCCTCTCATTTGTAAGTCTCACTGGGACAGAGAAACAAGGTGAAGATAAGGGAATTTGAAAGAAAAGTTGCTGAGTCGACTCTCTGCAAGATGCAGGGATGGGAGAGAGAAAAGCCACCACCTATTCACCAAAACCCACAGCCCTCGTCCTAGGGCACCCGGAAGATGCCCCGGGAGGCCGCCACGTGGCACCTCTTGCCAAGGGCCAGACCTGCTTGGCTCCGTCAGACAGAAGGCAGCGATGTGCTCCCCCGATGCCAGTTTGGGCAGGTATTTGGCCTTCTGCTCCTTGGTGCCAGCCAAGATGATCCCCTAAACCAAACACAAACAAGGCTGCTGTCAGCTGTGGGGAGAAAAGAAGTATGTGCACATGCTTGTAGAACACGGCCCCTCCTGGAGAAAACAGCTCCTGCAGGAGGGAATACCGTGGGCTCAGAGCCGGCGGCTACAAGCGAGAAGTGGAGAGCTGCTGCCAAGCACGAGGAGTGCGCTGCCGAGGAGCCGCCCTGAAGTGCGCGCTCCGGCGTGGCCTGGGCCTGCGGCACCAGCCACGGCTCTGGGTCGGACTCAGGGATCATCATCACTGCTCCTCCACTTCCAGGCTGGGTGGCCTTGGGCCAGGGATGGCCCTCCTCTGAGCCTCCTGCCTCTCAACTGCACACTGGGGGTAATGCTACCCACCGGAGGGGTGTCTGGATGATAGCCTGTGTCTACGGGAGTGCCGGGGCCACGCCTGGCAGAAAGAAGGTACACAGGCAGTGTCCGAGCCGTCCCACCCTCCTTCTCAGTGCCACGGGGAGAAGTGTGCCCCTTCCACCAGAAGACGGCCGGAACACAAGTGCTCTTGGGGCGGGGGGGCCACGCACACTGTTCACGTGGCTCGTTTCACTTTCTACAAAGTGAGCAGAGACAGCCTGAGTAGCGGGCCAGTCACTGAAAGCTGTGTGTCCATGGCCCTGCCCTAAAATGCTCCAAGCCCGGGGATAAGGAAGACATGTGCACAAACAGCAGGGAGGACACACTCTGGGCCCTGGTGACTCCCGAGCTGAGCAGGGGAGGCTCGCTTCCAGCGGTGAGGTGAGGACAGGCTCCTCGGAGGCAGTGGCATCTGTTGTGGGCCTCAAAGGATGGGTCAAAGGCGACGGGGACAGAAGGAAGATTCCAAGGGAAGGGACAGTGTGATCAAAGCAACGCGGGTTGTGTGGGACCAAGTGCCGTCCTGGGTGGCTAGAGAGAGGAGGATCACAGGGGAGTGCTGCAGGGCCCCCCTCCGAGACCCTGAGACAGCAAGCCCAAGTCACTTCCTGGTCAAAGTGAGCAAGCCTCCTGCCTCCATACCCCCACGTGACTCCAGACCTTTACATAGCATCAGAAGGAAACCCTAGACTTGACCTTGAGGCCAATAGCCTGGTGTGCTGCCAGGGTCACAGCGATCGAGGCATCTAGGCCGACAATTTCTCCTAGACGTGCGTACATGGTGTTGGAGAGGCCCAGGCCACCTAGAGAAGAAACAGACTAGCTTTACTTATGGTCCAGACCCATATTTCTCCCATTAAAGGCAAAGGGCTCGACTGCTTTTCCTGTTTATAAATACCACATTACCATTTTAAGAAATCACAGTACAGAAAGGTACAAAGAAAACAAAAATTACCCATAAACTTATCAGAGCATTTTTGAGTACATCCCTTCAGATTTTTGCTAGGCATATAAGCATAAATAGACATATATGTTTTTATTATAAGAAGGTAATATTTAATACAAAAAGAGTACCTTCACACGCATTAAATCATTTAAAATCTTCTGTCACAGATCTTTATAAACCTGACAGCTGTCTGGCAACCCACTCCCAGTATCCAGTGGGCTCTAGGACAGGTTTTCTCTGCCTCAGCACTGCTGACATTTTGGGATGGATTATTCTTTGCTGTGGGGAACTGTCCACTGCACTACAGGACATTTGGCAGCACCCTTGGCCTCCACCCAAGAGGTGCCAGTAACTCCCTTTCCCCTAGCTTTAACAGCCAAAAATGTCTCTAGACATTGACAAACATTCCCTGGGGAGGTTAAGTCAACCTGGATAGAAATCATTCTTCTAGGGGTGCGTGGGTGGCTCAGTCATTAAGCATCTGCCTTCAGCTCAGGTCATGATCCCATGGTCCTGGGATTGAGCCCGGCATCGGGCTCCCTGCTCACTGGGAAGCCTGTTTCTCCCTCTCCCACTCCCCCTGCTTGTGTTCCCTCTCTCACTGTCCCTCACTCTGTCAAAAATAAATCTTAAAAAAAAAAAAAAGAAATCACTCTTCTGGAAAGAAGACAAAGATTAAAAAAACAAAAACTCCACTGAGCTGATGTATTTTGCATTTCATCTTCAACTTCTAGAGGTGGCTGGATGGCCTCCATGTGTCTTAAAAATGATAGATTGGGGCATAGGGTCACGTGGCCAACAAGAGCAGAGCCGGGCCTTCAATTCGGGTGGGGGTCCTAGCCCTGGAGCCACCGCACAGCCCAACTGCAGAGGGTGCCACTCACACATAAAGGGAAGGATGGCCCTGCCTGATGCGTAGTTCCCCAGGGTTCCATACCCGGGGAAGGTCAGAGCTCCACAGTATCCCATCCCCACTCCTGCCATTACACAAAACTGTAAAACAAAACACTTTTGTTCTTACTCATTTCATATCCTGAGGGTCACTACTGTTTGTTTAAAAAAACCCCAAAACCTTCTGATGTTTTTCCACTAACATAGGTATCACCACAATCATGGAGAAACAGCAATCCCATGGAGACAGATGACAAGTAGGTGGAGACTGCTGGCTGGGGAGAAGCTGAGGGGCAGGAAGGAACCACACACTAGGCAGCATGCAGGGAACTGGGGGAGAAAAATCCAGGCTGGGTTGCCAAAAGGGCCTCCATTTTCCAGGATGGTGGTTTCCAGCCAGTCTTTAGAATGCTCCAGACTGGGAACATTTCCCCCCAAATTTGGGGGCACAAACATAAGGTTGCCGTTGTCTTAATTTCCCAAGAAAAGATAAGAAAAGAAAAAGAAAAAGAAAAAGAAAAAAAAGAAAGTGAAAAAGCCCCAAACTCATCTCAGGAAAGAAAGAACACTTTCACGCCAGTGAGTAGGACAGGAAACAAGAATAAGAGGTACAGTGCTGTATCACCTCATGCCCCGCCCCCCCCCCCCCCCCCCCCCGCCACATGCTGGTACAAAACACACGCAGCTGGAGAAAGACACATCCCAAATGGACACAAAGTGTTTGCAGATAAAATTAAGTACTTCTCCCCAATCAAGAGACAATTTAAAAATGCTCCTGAAGGGGAAATATATATTATCACTAACCTGACTATGTGTCTAGAGGTTTTCTTCTGCCACTTGTTTTCTCCAAGCACTTACTTATTTTTTTAGCTGACAGACCCACCACGGTTCTCTGGCTCTGCCCCCACCTTCATTCTGTTCTAACATTCACTGTGGACTGCACACTAGGGCAGGCGATTGCCCTGTGCCTTGTGAGCTGGGACACTGACGAGCCTCGGCTGTCTGGGCAGAGCTCAGTTTCCTCCCACCACACACGGAGGCTGCAGATTTGGGCAAGGAGACCAGGACGCGCAGCTTCCTCCACAGAGGCTCGAGCTGCTATGTTCCGCCACGAGGGGAGGCGACAGCAGTGACGGTCTCACGTCTTCTTGCAGATGGGGCAGTGTTGTTTTTACACATTTAGAAATGTGAGGAGAGGTATGTCATAAATGACAGGTAAGATACGTTGTTTAACAGCTTAAAATGTTGCAATAAACATCCATATGAATGAAGATGTAACCTAATTAAAATCTGCCTCCGAATCAAATCAGGCATGCACTATTTGGTCCTAAATGTTCACATCTCATCTCAGACCGGAGGACCAGCTCCAGGCTGGGTACCAGAGGGAACTTACTCTACAGACACCGAGGGCCCCCCAACCCTGGCTGCGGAGGTGATGAGGAACAACACAGGCCTACCTTTATTCTCTGGAGATAAACCAGGCAGGGGGACAGAACATCAAGAAAACCTCCTGACTTCTCTATCTTGCTCTGCTAAACCTAACTCACAACCTGGTTGGAAAAATGCCCAAAATATTAAATGTCCAAATGACCAGCTCAAAGACAAGAAATAGGCCCAAGCCTTTAAAGCACCACAGACAGCTCTTTCCCCTAAAGAGGGTTCTTAGTTGATCCAAGGGGGAAGTGACTCCAGAGAAAGCTCAAGCAGAGGGCTCAGCAATGGGTGCAGCATACAGGCTATGGAACCCGGAGCCACACTTCTATGTCAAAGGGGACTGAGAGTAAAATTAAATGGTGTGTGTGTGTGCATGGTGTGACTGTTACTCTGCTCCTGTTCTTCTTTCCCCTACCCCTCCGCCCCACTTCTTGCTGTCCCCTGAATCCCTACACAATTTAGATGACCAACTCTAGATTAGGCAGAAGAAGAGACAGCGGTAGTGACTGGCCAAATCTAAGAAGGCAGAATCACACTGGGATCCTGGGGAGAAAGGCCGGATCTTTCATCTGGGGGCTAAAAACAACACTACAATGACCCAGGAATTACAGGGACAACCCAGAGCACAACGGGCCCTGCTCGAATGTTTTCAGTGATCTAATCTCCCACCTCAACGCACCTGTGTCCTATAGCCATGCACCTTCTTCCTCTGCACCAGGATAGGAAGCAACTGGCAGACCCCGACACCTGAGCTCTCAGCCTATGGTCATCCCTCCAACAAAAAGGGCTCACAGCTCTGGGGCAATTCCTTTGTGGAGAGACCAAAGGGCCTCACGGTGCAGATCACACTGGAATTGGCCAATGTGGCTTTGAGGTTATACACACCTCCTTCTCTGCTGCCCACAAGGACCTGGAGAGCACAGACATCCTGCAGTGGTCCTTAGCCATGCCAAATGAACACAGTGCAGGCCTCAACAGTTCTTCCTGCTCCTAAGTCCCTTAGTCCACACACTCACCGGCCAGCGACCCCAGATTTGGTCCATGGTGGGTGTTTTTAATTCCAGCGGTTTTATAGTTTGATCCTGGACATACTGCATTTAAAGGCCACCTTTCCCAAACAGAACCCTTTCCTGGACAAATATGGGGTCCTTTCTTAAAAGCCAAACCAGCAGGGTGGTGTTTTCACTTTACTTACCATATTCTTCTGGGACTTGCAGCCCAAAAAGCCCCAGGCTCTTCAATTTCTCTAACGTTTCTTTTGGGATTTTTCCCTCCCGGTCAATTCTCTCAGAGTCCACTGCCAAGAGGAAATATTTTGATTAAGCAAAATATAAGCTATGTCTACAAAGATGAACAGAACAATTTTTTTTAAAGATTTTATTTATTTATTTTGAGAGAGAGAGAGAGAATGAGAGAGAGAGCACATGAGAGGGGGGAGGGTCAGAGGAAGAAGCAGACTCCCTGCCGAGCAGGGAGCCCAATGTGGGACTCGATCCCGGGACTCCAGGATCATGACCTGAGCCGAAGGCAGTCGCTTAACCAACTGAGCCACCCAGGTGCCTGAACAGAACAATTTTTGTATCGCATACAATCCCAGGGTCAGAAACTTCAAAATTGACATGTCTAGTCAGTTATTCGGCATGTGTTCAATTTCACCTAATTAGCCCAGCCAGCATTATTATTTTGAAAAATGGGCTGTACCAGGTAGTGTTCTCTTTCTTGATCTGGGTGCCATTCACATGGGTGTATTCACTGTGTAAAACTGCAGCAGGTTATATAAACTTCTCTGAAGGCACATATATACCTGAATTTTTTATTACCATTACCTTCTAGAAAATTAGAAACTAAGTACACAACTTCCAGAACTGTCCTAAAAATGTCAGGCTAGATAGCCAAACTCTGGGTTATACCTGGATCTATGTCTAACTAGTTTTCAGAAACCACAACTCTTTCACCATAGCCTACAAATTCTGAGGACAGTTTAATCTGTTCAACACCTACTCACGTCCATTAGCGCAGAACGGAGCAATCACTAGCATTAGGTCTATAATTATATACCTTGTATGTACACATTTTTGCCTGAATCAAGTTAATTAAAATCTTCTTTCAAATTGGCAGCATATTAAACTTCACTATTATTATAAATTTTAAAAACCACCATAACCTACACTTGGGAATTTTTATGCACATGGATCACTAATGAGAAATATGGATTCCCCAAGAGTCCAAACCCCTCATTTTTTGTTTTTTTTTACAACTTTATTGACATTTACAAGTGGCAAATAAAGCACATATTTACAATATGTATTTTTTGAGTTCTGACATGTTTGCCCATGAAACTACTCTCACCAAATAAATAATAAAAACTTCCTTTTCCACAAAGAGTTCCCTCATGCTCCTTTGTGATCAATCCCTCAGTCCATTTCCATCTCTAGGCAACCACTAATCATCTCCTTTTTGTCTATAGATTAGTTTACATTTTTGAGTTTTAAATCACATAGCAGGTAGTCTTTTGATCTGGCTTCTTTGACTCAGGATGATTCTGAGATTCATCTACATTACTGCATGTATCAATACTTTATCATAATACTTTTTACTGTTCAATATTCTACTGTATGGATATAAAACAGTTTATCCATTCACCTTTCGATGGGCATTTGGATGGCTCTTGGGTTTTGGTTCTTAGAAATAAAGCTTCTATGGGCATTCATATTTGAGTTTTTATGTAGCTCTGTTTTCATTTCTCTTGGGTCACTACTTTGGAGTGGGATGGCTGGGCTGTACAGTATGGTATGCACAGTAAGAAACTGTCAGGATCTGGGGAGACTCCTGCTTCCAAGATGGAGTAACAGGGATTGGAATTATCACCTTGCCTCAACATACTAAACATACAAGGCATGCATAAGAGCAACAAGCAACATGTCACTAGTAGAGAATGAGGCCTAGACCACGAATTCTCAACAAGGGCAACAGCACCCCCAAAGGTAATAAAAATTGGTTCGGGAGTGGGGCAGCAAAAAATATTTTTTTAATGGATAAAGAACAGAAATACAAATAATACACAGAAATATGGTACAACTTGGAATTAAAATTTCATGAGTGGGGTGTAAACAGGGAAAAGATGTCTAAAAAGGGTTTGGGGGGGGAGGGTCAATAATGAAAAACAGGTTGAGAAACCCTGCTCTACAGGCTGTTCTGCTCCCACCTAACAATGCTTACAAAGCAAGCCTTGACCAAAACCAAAGACACCACCAAAATTAGAGTTCCTGAGGGAACACTGATACAAAAACCCTCAACAAAATACTAACAAACTGAATTCAGTAATACATTAACTGGATCTTTCATTATGATCAAATGGGATTTATCTGGGCATATAAGGATGGTTCAATATCTGCAAATCAATGTGCTACATCACATTAACAAAAAGAAGGTTAAAAATCATGGTCACCTCAACAGATGCCAAAAAAAGCACTTAATACAATTCAACATTCATTTCTGATAAAAACTCTCAACAAAGCAGGTATAGAGGGAATTTAACTCCACATAATAAAGGCCACATAGGACAAACCCATAGCTAACATCACACTCAACTGTGAAAAGGTGAGAGCTTTTCCTCTAGGATCAGGTATGACACAAGGATGCCCACACGTGCCACTTTTGTTCATCATAGTACCAGAAGTCCTAGCCACAGCAATCAGACAAGGAAAATAAATAAAAGGCATGAAAATTGGTAAGGAAGAACTAAAAATGTCACTATTTGAAGATGACAGGATACAATACATAGAAAACCCTAAAGACGATTCCAGAAGTTGCTTTCTGAGGTAGCGTGCGGTCTTTGTCGGCTTCCACCATGGCATACTGTGGCCAGGGCCAAAAAGTGCAGAAGGTGATGGTTTAGCCCATCAACCTCATCTTCAGATACTTGCAAAATACATCTCGAATTCAGGTGTGGCTTTATGAGCAAGTGAACATGCAAATAGAGGGCTGTATCACTGGTTTTGATGAGTACATGAACCTCATATTAGATGATGCCAAAGAGGTTCATTCTAAAACAAAGTCAAGAAAACAACTGGGTTGGATCATGCTAAAAGGAGATAATATTACCCTGCTCCAGAGTGTCTCCAACTAGAAATGATCAGTGAAGTGAGAAATTCTTGAGAAGGCCATGTAATTTGTTTTTTTAGATGTCCTTTGTTGTGAGTGTAGTTCCAAAACATTTGTTCTTATTGTTTTGATTACCTTTATGTTATTACCAGAGGACAATAAATGCTGTGGGATTGCATTTAACAACAACAAAAAAAGGAAACCCTAAAGACTCCTCCAAAAAACTATTAGAAAAAATGAATTCAGTAAAGTTGAAGCATAGAAAATTTACATAAAAATGCTGCATTTCTATACACTAATAATGAACTATCAGAAAGAGAAATTAAGGGGCACCTGGGTGGCTCAGTCGATTAGGCATCTGCCTTCAGCCTAGGTCATGATCCCAAGGTCCTGGGATCGAGCCCCATGTCAGGCTCCCTGCTCAGTGGAGAGCCTGCTTCTCCCTCTCCCTCTGCCTGCCACTCCCCCTGCTTGTGCTCCCTCTCTCACTCTGTCAAATGAATAAATAAAATCTTAAAAGTAAAAAGAGAAATTAAGAAAACAATCCCATTTACAACTGCATCGAAAAGAATAAAATACCTAGGGATAAATTTAACTAAGGAGGTAAAAGACCTGTATTCTGGAAACTATTAAAACAGTGAGCAAAGAAATTAAAGATGACAAAAATAAATGGAAAGACATAGAGGCATTCCTCATTTTAACTGCACTTCACAGATACTGCATTTTTTACAAATTGAGGGTTTGCGGCAACCCTATGACAAGCAAGTCTACTGTGCCATTTTTCCAACAGCATTTGCGCATTTCATGTCTCTCTGTCATATTTTATATTTCTCACAAAACTTCAAGTCTTTTCATTATTATTTTATTTGTTATGATGATGTGTGGTCAGTGATCTTTAATGTTACTACTGTAATTGTTTTGGGGTACCATGAACTCAACCCATGTGAGACAGTGTGAGCTTAATTGATAAATGTACAATCTGACTGCTGCACCGACCAGCCATTCCCAGTCTCTCTCCCTCTCCTCTAGCCTCTCTCTTCCCTGAGACACAATATTAAAAATAGGCTGATTAGTAACCCTACAATGGCCTCTAAGTATTCAAGTGAAAAGAAGAGTCGCATATTCTCTAACTTTCATTCAAAAGCTAGAAATGATTCAGCTTAGTGAGGAAGGCACGTCAAGGCCAAGAGCTAGGCCTCTGGTGCCAAACAGTTAGCCAAGTTGTGAATGCAAATGGAAAGCTTCTGAAGGAAGTTAAAAGTGCTACTCCAGTGAACACAAAAGGTAAGAAGTGAAACAGCCTTACTGCTGACGCGGGGAAGGCTGTAAGTGGTCTGGATAGATCAAACGAGCCACGTTCCCTTAAGCCAAAGTCTACTCTAGAAAAAGGCCCTAAGTCTCTTCAATCTATGAAGGCTGACAGAAGTGAGCAACCTGCAGAAGAAAAGTCTGAAGCTAGCAGAGGTTGGTTCATGAGGTTTAAGGAAAGAAGCCGTCTCCATAACGTGAAAGTACAAGGTGAAGCAGCAAGTCCTGATGTAGAAGCTGCAGCAATATCCAGGCAGCACCCTCCACCAGCAAAAAGGCTACACCTTACTGGAAGCTCAAGGTGATGGTTAGCATTTTTTAACAATACAATGTGTTGTGATTTTTTTTAAGATTTTTTATTTTTAAGTAATCTCTACACCCAATGTCGGGCTCAAACTTACAACCGCAAGATCAAGAGTTGCATGCTCTAACTAGAATTTAAATAAAAACATGAAAAAAAAAGTCTCATGCCCTACTGACTGAGCCAGCCAGGTACCCCAGCAATAAAGCATTTTTAAATTAAAGGTATGTACATTTTTTGGGCGCCTGGGTGGCTCAGTCAGTTAAGCGTCTGCCTTTGGCTCAGGTCATGATCCCAGGGTCCTGAAATCGAGTATCATATTGGGCTCCGTGCTCAATGGAGAGCCTGTTTCTCCCTCTCCCTCTGCTCCCCCTGCTCTCTCTCTGTCAAATAAATAAATAAAATCTTAAAAAAAAAAAGTATGTACATTTTTAAAGACATAAATGCTAGTGTACACTATTTAATAGACTGCAATATAGTGTAAACATAACTTTTATATGCACTGGGAAAACAAAAAATTCATTGGACTCATTTTATTGTGGGATTTGCTTTATTGTGGTAGTCTGGAACCAAACCTGCAATAT